CCAGTTTCATTTGGAGTTAATATCTGATTTTCAGCATGGGAATTGATAGCCATTTGGGAGTGGCCTCTCCTTTTGGGTAAGATCTGACATTATTCAGTAGGAATGAAATCATGAGATAAACCCATGTTGTATCCATTGGTAGTTTGACTAAAGATACAATGGAGGAATGGTATATGGAAGCTGGAGCTTAGCAGCTGTTGCTGTAGCACAATGTGGCGCCTTGTATTGCTGATTGCATGGCTTTGGACAGAAGTTTTTCAACATCTGTTCTGATATGGTATGTTTCAGGAGCAGCATAAACAGGAGTCTCAAAGAACGAGGTCAATGCAGAGAGAGGAACTGTTTGCTGAGGGATGGAAAACTGCACATCTGTTCAGGGAGAAGAAAGAGGTGGAAAAAGAAGAGGAAGAAGTAGAGGAGGAAGAAGAAGAGGAGGAGGTAGAGGAGAATGAGAAATATGAATTTGAAATGAAAGGTTCAGTCTTTGGTATCAAAGAACCAAATGAAGGAGAATTCAAGAATTTAATGGAGTTCTTCAAGCATTCTAGGAACTATAGAGAGGAGAGGCGTGAGTAATTGTATCTCAGGAGATACAGTTTTGTATTCTGTGAAAATATTTTTGCATGCTAAATGACATAAGGCAAACTGATACTTGTTGCTTAAATTATGTTTGCTAAAAATTAATTTTTCAGAAAAGAATTCGGAGGAGGAGCTGATTCCTGAGGGTGAGTAATGAATTACCTTGAGAACATTTTCTGCTATAGGCCTACATATACTTGGAGTCATACATATATGGGTCACTGAAAGTTTGTAGCTGCAGCCTCATTGACTTCCCATCTCCCTTACTACTCTTAGACTTCAGCTTGAAATTTTGACTGCTTCTCAAAGTAAGCACCCAGAGTATCTGGTCAAATTTGTATTCACTGAAACTGAGAGTCAAAGCAGATGCACCTATCCTCTGACAAAATCAACTAATGTGTCCCAATAAGTAACTNAAATATATATTCTAGGCCTCCTCCACCCATGCTTTATACTTAGTACATGGCTATAGTCACAAGGCGAAGACTGGGCTTAAAGGATGGGTGTACACAGGGTGTACCTGGTGTTCACAAGACGTACAATAGCCCTAAAGTCTACTTTACAAATGATATCTGTTAGGAAAATGGAGAAGCATTGGTGGGAAGCTCCAGAATACAGGTTCTACTGGAAGAATTTGAGGAAGATGCAGAAACATCAGACACGCCAAGCTATTGCAATGTACTATTCCAGGATGGTAGCTTTGGAGTATGAGAATGCCTGCAAAGATAATCTAATAAGATATCTATGCAATTGTTTGGATCACATACAGCATGGACCAATGCAAGTAAGTGTTGCATCTGTCATAGTCATGTCTTTACCTTATTTGCCCAAGAATTCAACTTCTCTCTGCTACATTTAGAATGATGGCTGACCATCAATTACCAGTATATAATATGTAGGCAACCATCAGCATGTATCAGTATGTATGATTGCTATATTTTGTGCTCTATGAAGTAAGGGTCTAACAAGACTTCCATGCTTGTGGCTGAAGAATGCCTATACCCAGTAGTGCTCCATCCAGCCCTAAAGTTTGGAGGGGGGGGGGGGGGGTTCGAAGTTATCATGACCTGTCCTTCAAATGGCCCTGAATTCAAGGCCTTATCAAATCATCAGGAGAGATACACTCAACAAAAATGCAAAATGGTGCAAACACATGAACAAAAAAAATGAAATGAAGAAAAATGTTATGTAATGGTGGAAACGGAATTTGAACTCTAAATGATGAAAGCACATTCAATATCAGAAAAAAGCTCAAAAGGAACTAAATTGATCTTGGAATTCAGCCCAAATATCACTGTGCAGATGTGCAGCAGGAAATTCACTAACCTGTATGATTCATGCCTTTTATTTGAATTGTCGCCCTTCCATTTTCAGGAAAATATTCAGTAGCGTCACATGCACAGGATGTTTCCTTGTCAGGTTCACTTTATTAAAGTGAGTTGCTACATGTAACTGGCATGACTTTCACCTTTCACCTCCTATCTTTGTGCCTTTCCAGCCTTGCTCTCAGGTCGTTTGCTCATGGTATCTTTCTGCGTCCCCCACCCTTGGGAGAGGGGACTGGAGAATTGGAGAGATACCACCATGAGCAGGGTTTTTGGGGGGTTCAGACCCCCTAATCCTACCTCTACCTCTTGATAGCAGTTTCATGCATAACCTTTGATGTGCACAAAAAATGTTAACCATTTGGCTTTGGTATCTTGTGTAAGATAGATACTATAAATTGAAATTTGAAGTGTGGTACATGACTAACTATAACATTGTTATAGTTAGTCATGTATGTGATTTTTATTAAGGATCAGATCTAATGAGGCAGCAGTTAACCTATGCAATGACTTTTTTTAAGGAAAATACTACAATTTTATCACCAATGATGACCTTTCCAAAGTAGTAGTTACCTTTTGGGAAAGGCATGCATATTGCTTCTAAAGTACAAATAAGTATTTGAGAGAGACTTTTTATATTTCCAATCACTTCTCATTAGGCTACCTCTTTCTACTTCTCCAACCAAAAGCCACCATCTATTTCTGCCTTTGAAGAAAGTGGCAGATGAACATTAGGATTCAGATTATGTGCGTCTATTTCCCTGTTCATTCATTCATTCATTTCCTATCCTTCCCCCCTCCCAGTTTCATTTGGAGTTAATATCTGATTTTCAGCATGGGAATTGATAGCCATTTGGGAGTGGCCTCTCCTTTTGGGTAAGATCTGACATTATTCAGTAGGAATGAAATCATGAGATAAACCCATGTGGCATCCATTGGTAGTTTGGCTAAAGATACAATGGAGGAATGGTATATGGAAGCTGGAGCTTAGCAGCTGTTGCTGCCACAATGTGGCGCCATGTATTGCTGATTGCATGGCTTTGGACAGAAGTTTTTCAACATTGTTCTGATATGGTATGTTTTAGGAGCAGCATAAACAGGAGTCTCAAAGAACGAGGTCAAGGCAGAGAGAGGAACTGTTTGCTGAGGGATGGAAAACTGCACATCTGTTCAGGGAGAAGAAAGAGGTGGAAGAAGAAGAGGAAGAAGTAGAGGAAGAAGAAGAGGAAGAAGAAGAGGAGGAGGTAGAGGAGAATGAGAAATATGAATTTGAAATGAAAGGTTCAGTCTTTGGTATCAAAGAACCAAATGAAGGAGAATTCAAGAATTTAATGGAGTTCTTCAAGCATTCTAGGAACTATAGAGAGGAGAGGCGTGAGTAATTGTATCTCAGGAGATACAGTTTTGTATTCTGTGAAAATATTTTTGCATGCTAAATGACATAAGGCAAACTGATACTTGTTGCTTAAATTATGTTTGCTAAAAATTAATTTTTCAGAAAAGAATTCAGAGGAGGAGCTGATTCCTGAGGGTGAGTAATGAATTACCTTGAGAACATTTTCTGCTATAGGCCTACATATACTTGGAGTCATACATATATGGGTCACTGAAAGTTTGTAGCTGCAGCCTCATTGACTTCCCATCTCCCTTACTACTCTTAGACTTCAGCTTGAAATTTTGACTGCTTCTCAAAGTAAGCACCCAGAGTATCTGGTCAAATTTGTATTCACTGAAACTGAGAGTCAAAGCAGATGCACCTATCCTCTGACAAAATCAACTAATGTGTCCCAATAAGTAACTGCAACATCTTCAAAACTCTCGATTAGTGACCATGGAGTTTTTCTTTGCACTTGGGGAACACATAGTCGCAAGGGGCCAAATTGGATGAATAGAGGATGTGACTGTTTGAATATGTTGACAGGCCAGGAAGTCCAAAGTTTTCATTGCTGTGTTCCCTTGGAGCATTCTTGAAATTCAACAAGAATCCCTGAAGCCTTCTTTTCAATGTTGATGATTGACAGCTTCTAAGACAGTAGGCAAGCAAATTATTGTGTACCCTGCAGGATTTACATTGGCATTGGGGAATGGTGGTGATATGGGGAGAATGGGAGAAGAAAGTGGTCAGCATTTGCTTCCTGACACTTGGGGGGCTGACAGACTTCAGTGGTTGGTTGTTCACAAGCAAAGATCTAAATTGTGCTTTGGTGTTTCATTTCTTGCTCAAATTCATCAATTCAAGTTTCATATCCAGTGATAAGACCAAACATAAGTTTTTGAATGTCCCTGGTTACATGTTTTGAGCATGTCATGACACCTTTTCATACAGACTTTTTTTAGAAGACTGGCAGGGTCTGCAGTACCCAACAGAAAAAAAAACCTGTAAAGCCTCTAATGCCCATCCAGAATGTCAGAAACATCAGAGGAACCATTGCTCAAATGATTTCTATATGTCCATAAGTAAGTTGGGGGTTTTCAGCAGCCATATGCTGCACCAAATGGTGTGACTGCAGTTGGAGGTCAACCTGGTTGGGGTTCATCTTCAATGGAGGTTACGCCCTGTTTGAATTCCTCTAACTCCACTTAGAAACTGTGGAAATATTAGGTACATCATCATCCCCCATCCCTTCCCCAGGTGCTCATGAGTTTGTTTGATTTCCAGTCCTACTCAGTGGTCATAAAGCATCATCCACCTGAAACTTTCATGAGTAGGCTCAATCTTTGTATCTTAAAGACACCAAAGCTGCAGCAAGAAAACTAGTGCAACTCTTCAACTTCTTAAGGTACAGTCATGAAAAATGGCAGTTTTTCTATCTGGAATGTGATAGGCTATAAAATTATCAATTATCACTTGATTAGAATTCAAGATTAGCTACAAACTTTCAGAGTGACCCTCATAGGCAGTTTGATTTAAAGGTGGTGGGGCTGATTCCTGTTCATATTCTCTCTCTTTTTGGTTACATGTTTAGTTGAGTGGAGTAGGTGAAACATGTCTGATTTCTCTTGGTGCTTTATTTAGTGGCCAAGGCAGCAGCCATGGATGCTCGCCGAGAAGAGGAATGCACAGAGCTCTTTGGTCCTCATGCCCCTAAAATCATGGGGATGGAGGCATCATTACAATCTTTCTTCAATCAACTATGTGATGAGACTGGTGCTAAAGCCTGGCCTGTTGTTCCCATCAATATCTAAACTTGATACCTTTGTGCAATCTCTCTTGAACTGAACTTATATTTGTTCAGTGCTGCTGATATTCATCATTGACCAGGAATGTTGTGCGCTTGTGTGAATGTGCTATAAATATGGTGCTGTGGTTGCACACATGCTCAAGGCTGCATCAAAAAGATCTTTTGAAAACAAATTGGAATGATGGAAGAGCAGGCATGGATTATTGAAGGGAAAAAAGTGAAGTTGAGTAGTCATTCATTTCCCATATTGTCCATCAGATTGTGTCCAACAAAGTTTCAACTCCATTCCTGAACTTGATGGGAAGCATTGAGAAAATTCAATCACTGAGGAAGGATGATTAATAGCACTTTAAGTAGTAGCAACCTCCCCATGCAGGTTTGAGAAGAGAACAGTCATTAGATTAATGAATAACACAGAGAACTCTGTTATTCATCAATCTAATGACTTTTATGTTAAAACCCAAAGTAAGTCACTCTTGCCCAAGACAAAGTGCTTTAAGGTAGAAATCTTTTCCACTTCATTTCTTTTCTGTATTGGAAAGGTATGTAATCCAAATTGGGACTGTCTAAATACAATGTGAAAAATCCTCAAACTTACCCTCAGGCTATACGTGTTTTGTGCTTCTCTAGAATATGTTACAAATCTTGTTTAAATTGTGATTTTATAGTGGGAAGCACATTGTGCAATCTCAAATGTATGTTTTTGTGTGCATTTTCTTTAATTAGTATGGAGAGACAGTGACATAATCCAATGGAACCACAATACATATCAGTATGGCCTAGCTAAGTCGATATCAACACATAATAAGTAGTTCTCATAAAAAGCACAAACTTTTTCTATTTCTGAGCAAGCAAGGCTTTCTGCCTATATTTGTTTCTCAAATGTGTTTGCTAGAGCAGTGCTCTTCACCGAAAAGCTGAAAGTTTCAGGAATTTTCTTTCTCTGAGGTGGCAGCTCTACTGGATGTAGAAGCCATAGAAAGTAGAAACGTCCTACCATGTACAAGTATGATACCCTGCACACCAATATGATACCAAAAGAAAGGGATCCATGGGTTTCACTAAGTTTATCGGGATTTCCCATAAAGCACAGTAACAGGTCACTCTGCCCTACTTTGGTTACCAAAGTGACTTGCTTTCATTGTCACCTTTTTGTCAGGCCAGGTTCCAATCAGATCAGAACAGGATGGGTAGCCTATGCAAATATGTGAAGCCCCACCCCCACCTTCTGCATGCAAGTAATAGAGGATGCCAAATTGAACAGTAACAGAAACCACTTGGGCTTTTCCTTCTCTAAGGTTTTTGAACTGAAACTCTAAGATAGTTCAGGTAAAGAAGCCCCAAGTGATTGTGGGATTGAAACCAAGGAGTTACTCAGGCCATTAGCCAAATTTTATGATTAAAGAAATGTGCAAAATTCAGTCCACCAAAAAATAGTTTTACTCTGACAGCATGCCAAATTATGGGATATGCCACCATTTCATTTGTTTTGATGTATCTTGTTCATTTAGTCTTTTTTTAAAATAATGCCTAGATTTCTAGATATTGATCCTGGAAACACTCTCCACATTGGCTGTTACCTGCTCTCTCAATGATGTTGACCCATAATATTGAACAAAATCCCCTAAAAATGGGAAGGATTTTTGAAAATGAACAGTGAAATCATTCTTGGATGAATCATTCATTCAGTTTATTGACAAACACCTTCACATCCAGTTATTTTGCATGATAGCAGGACACAATCGTTCCAAAGAGACCATTTCATGAATTTACTTTCCCAATGCTAGGAAAATCGGAAAAGTTGTCTTCCCCTGCCAAGCTGAGCAGCGTTCCTTCGGCGGTGTCTCCGGAGTGCCTCTCGCAGATGTTTTGGCTGTAGGGGACACCCATCTCCCCATTTCTCCATCACATCCAGAGCTGTTAAGAGGAATGAAATAAGTACTAAGACAATAGAAGAGACCAAAATCACCACTCAGCTTATTACAATGCAAAAGCACAAGGTGTCAGAGCATTTCATCATTAGCAAACTAGCAAAGGAGGAATGTGGGTTTTAAAAAAAACGGTAAGAACAGATTAAAATAAAGAGACAAATAAAGTCTTCTATAATGAAACAAGAATTATATGCTGGCATACCTTCTTCAACAACTTCCCCAATGTAGACCTTGGCAATGCCAGACATTGCAATGACTGCTGTCTGGCTCACTGAACTTCCGGTGATGGTCTGCATCAACTGGCAAGAAAAGCATTATAAATAAACCTTGTGAACTCCACATTCAAATACCTTAGACTTTTCCCAATTCACTATGAAAAAGCAGTTATAATTATTTGGCTAGACATAAGCTACAGAGTAATTCATACTACATATAATGCAGGCCAAAAATAAAAGGCACAGGATATCTGGAATGGTACAGAAATACAATTTCATTCTTACTTCTTTTTGGGAGGTAAAATAGCATGAACTGATGAGCTCAGAGGTAAACCTCTATGGGAAATGCTCCGTGCATGAGTGTAAAGGTCAAGTAAAAAATGTATTTAGTCATAATAATTTCAGGAGCATTTTTAAAGTATAGCTTGCAGATGGACAAATGTAGCTATGAATTCCAATACCATCTAGAACACCCTGAATTATGTTTCAGGTGATGCACACTGAAGGAATCTGATATTAATTTTATTCCCATTTGCATAAATGCTGCATTTCAAGCAGTATAAATGTTGAAGCCCAGCTGACAGGCTCTTCTATATGCACAATTGCATCATATTGCACTTACTCGTCGGATTGCAGCCTTTGGGAAAGCAGATCGCCTGTACATCTCATAACGGTCCAGCTGCTCCTCAGTGAAGTTTGACACCAAGACTCTATTGAAGAAAATAAGAAATGGCTTCAAAGAAGCAAGCTTCGACTGAATATAATTATACTTTCATTATAAAGTAACAAGGGCTGATCATGAGAACTAATACAATGGTTATTGCATATTGCATGCAATAAACATTGAATTATTTAGGAGTGCTTCACATGCAAGGAGATTTAAAATTTGGGCATGCAGTCTATATCAAGTCCCAGAAGTTCTTATATTTCCTCTTCCTAACTGATTTCTACTTCTTGGAGGATAAGCCAACAGGAGATGATGAACCCATTCCCATTTTTAAATTCATCTGCAATAGATTCAGGCATAAACTTTTATGCTATTACTTTCTTGACTGCAATGTCGGCTTAAAATAACAGCTTGGCATAAGTATGCCACAATTTCAAGAAACTGTGCATTCTTTATTTCTTGAATGACAATCAGCTGAAAAAATAATTATTGAAACAAGAGTCAACAAGATGCCACCTCTACAAAATAGAGAGGAAACCACCAGCATTGAGTCTATAACCCTTCAAAATGAATCATTGAAATGAAGTCTGTCACAATATGAAGGGTTCTTAAAACAGTTCTAAATTATGAAGAGATAAGTTTGAAAGTAAATGAATTGGCTCAAAAGTATCAAAATGGACTGAAAACTGGCTCATGACTAGAACCAGAGACATGGAGATTATACATGGAAACAGTTTTTATATCATGATGACATACAAGTGACTCTCTCAAAATGGAATGAGGAATTAAGGCAGGAGTTCTCAAACAGGGGGGTGCAACAGGTCATGGAGTTTTTTTTTTCATCTACTACAAATATACAATTTCAAAAACTATGGAATATTTTTATTCATCTATCCATTTTTTTTTTTTTTTTTTACTGGAAAAGGTCACATTCCTTCAGCTCTTTCTGGCTCTTTCTCCAGGAGTACAAGACCAAATGAAAGCAATTCAAGGGGCAGAATTTTAAATTTGATTCCTTTTTTTCAAGGGGTGTACAATTCTGTTGGCAATTTCCTATGATTAGAATGAAGATAACAAATGAATCAGCAGTCTTTTTGGGCTGTAACTTGAATGCTTGATGAATGTAGTCTGTGCACTTGTTCTGTCTAAATAATTACTTCAAGAAACTCAATGATGCAGAAGAGCTGGGTTCCAAAGGCAGAGCCTAATTTCCAAATACATTTCTCGGTCAAGTTTTTGAAAATGAGACTTGTGCTGTTATTGTTACCGTCCAGTCCAGATTCGATCATTTGTGGGCCCAGAGGCATTAATGATAATCCATTTTCTAGCTGTGACCCAGTCCCTGAAACATTGCAATCTGTTTCATATTTTTCAATCATCATATGAAAAAAGCATCAGTGGAGTAGGCTTAATTTCTAGGTACTCCTCTCAGAGAGAGAGAGAGAAAGAGAGGGGGCATGATGACATGCAATGACTGATTCTATTTCAGCAAACACCTCCTCATTTCCTTACCTTCACTGCTCATGTTTTTCTTTGGAAAGGCTTTTTTTTTTTAATTGACAGCAATGAAAAATCTTAAATGTATTGAAACCTGAGCTGAAGCTAGTTATAACATGATGAGAAGATATACATTTGGGTAAAATGCAGAAAAAAGAATATATGATTATTCACAGAAAAGCTCCAGAATCAGTCATAGTAATCGTCATATCAAGAATGACTATCAACTATTGAGGCAATTGAGATCATTGAAATACCTGGGAGCAACAGTAATGACAGCCTAAAAAAGGATTCTGAAAATGAAAGGATTTCTGCAATGAATTTGATCCAATAAAGATTCAGGACATTCCTTCCATGATACCTTTGGAACATCCAGCCCTCTAAGTGCCCAACAATCATATATTGTTGTTTGATCATTGTGTGAAAAGGGAGGAGGGAGGGTCTGGGCACTAAAATAACAATACAAAAGATGCAATATAGTCAACTCTCAACATACCACCATTGTTGGTCTCAGCTGATTTGGGTGCTATATCGATACATGGTTAAGTTGAGAATTTTCCCCTGATTTATATAAAATATACACAAAATTTCACTTTAATTAATTCACACTGCCAATGGTCCATGCCTCAGAATAAACCAAATACACAGCTTTGAAAAATGATTCTATATATTCCATCCAGTATTAAACTCAATGACTTCTTATTTTAAATTAGTATAACTACAGTGCACTGTCTGCTCACATTATTGTCCCAAAACACTGAAAAATTTTTCCTTCACACTTAAAAGCTGTCCTTTTCCCCATCACTAGAAAGTGAACAAACTTAAACTGTTCTCGGGAGAAGCTGCATATAATCTTAATGAGATATTTTGATTCTCCAAGGGAAGAGATCAGATTAGGTGACCCTATACACCCCACTCTAATATCTGTAGGCCTATTCTAATGCTAAGCCATCCCTTATAATCTTGATATCTATCATTTGACCAAAAAGAGTAATTCGCAGCATAACATTTTGTAAAGGGTATAATAAATAATTGTTTGGTCAAGTATGCCACTTGCCATAATGTTGAGTAAGACTTATGTAGAATACTAGATGTTTGCGCAAATAAAGGTGTTGGCAGATGGCAGCTAGTGAGGATGGCACCATAACAGAAGAGTGCCTATGGTAAGCCTATGGGGAATATTCATTCTCAAGAAAGAGTAAGCAATATATTGAGAGTTGACTGTAATTGATTACCATATCACCTCTATCTTTCTATCTATTCAGAAATTCATAATCACTGATGGTGTCTCTGCACACAAATGATTAAAACACCTTTATACAAAGAAGCATTAAGGGGAAATTTTTACATAACAGCTAAAATGGAGTATGAGAAGCAATCTTTGTTGAGGCAAGGATTATAGCATCAGAACTTATTACCATCTCAGACAGATAGAGAATTCTCTCCCCAAAGTTACAGGTTACAGTTATAGGATGAGTTATGAATAGCAAAGTGAAACATTAAAGTAAGAAAAATGTGAAGGGTAAAACTCTTGTTTTCTTGCTTAAATGTTATCCAAGTGATTCTAGGTTTAAGTCTCCATGATTCTAGAGACATATTAGGCCTATTCACTCAAAGCATTCATATGCCAACAGCCTGAAAGCCATCAAAGTTACTCCTTCCACAATCCTAGATACCATTCTTCAAACTTGTCAGGCTCAAGATATACAATGATACTCACTGCATCTTTTCTCTCTCCTCTGCCTCAGCTTCCCTCTTAGATTTCTGTTGAGCAACATGGTCATCAGCATCTTTGGCAGCATGAGTACGTGGCAGCTGAATGTCATCAGAATCAGATATACTATGACTTCTGTCCAATTCTAGAAGGTTTGGAGCACTTCCATCATTGGGAGATTCCTTCTCATCTTTGTCATCAAACGGGAAGAATGCTCGAGCCCCATCTTCTCCCTCACCATCATAGTCAGCACTCTCAAAACTATGCTTAAGGTCCACTTCTGCATCTGACATGATGAAATTGAATCTTATTTCTCCAAAGGTGCGTAGTTGAGAAGCTTCTCGATCAGGTCCACATGCCCAAGTAGCATACGTCGGCAGCAATAACGCTTCAGACCCAGGGCATCCAAGGCATCACCTTCAGTGTACTCAGCTTGCAGCAGACCCAGATATGCCTCCCACTTGTTCCCAATCACTTTTCCACATGTAAAGCACCTGATGGGAATAATCATCTTCAAGCACAATATAACAGCCTAAGTGGCATTTGCTTTTTCACCTCTGAAACAAAAATTTAACAATTAAAATGCAGCTTGGTGTAAATCTTTAGGCCTAGGCTGAGACTACATTGAGAAATGAAGTATACAGAGTATAAACTATAGGTAGGCTAAGGTAAATTATTCCTGGTGATGGTGTATAAGGTTATGGCACCGCCGCTGGAGTAGGAAGGCAACACTGATCAGAGGAGCATTAATTAAAATTCCGCATTTAGGGATCTGTGACTAAACTGAGTAGTATGACAAGTGGTAGGGTTGCTTTTGTATTTCGTCTTATTATTACTTGAGTTTAACAGTTACCATTCCCCTTGACCAACGCTACTATGAACTAAATTGAATAACTTTGCTTAGTCATCTGTCGAACTTATGGTGATTCTCCGACCACGCCGCTTCAACCAAAACGTCACTGCTTACCGCATTCGGTTCTGGCTTCATGCACGCAGCCATATTCGAATTCCCAGGCCTGTCATGCGCCGAAAGACGACGTCGTTTGGGAGCGGTTTCCCGACTCGGTTGGGCTGTACTAAGCATCCCATTCGCTAGGGATTTATTTGACTCGTTTTCTTGTTCCGATTGCAGGACAGTTGATAACTGAAAAGGCCAGTGCTCTCCTTGAAATTTCATATTTCCAAGTTGTGTTGTCTCACCTACCTTTCCTGGTCATTCTCTTCGCCGTATTCGCCAATGGATGTCAACCCAGATAACACATTACGTTTAGCCCACATTGGGTAAAGGTGGGAAACGTTGGCGGAACGTGAATTTGGGGAACGATGTTGGCCCAATGTGGGCCCAACGTGGGCATATGAAAAGTACACGTTGAAAAGTACGACGGAACTCCTTGTAGAGAACTTCAACACCTTGAAGTTCTTCGCCAGGTCACTAGATGAAGGTATGGGTTTCGCTTTTCACACAGTACGCAAAAGTTCCCTCTTTCCCTGGAATCCTCCTTCGCAGGATTGTTTGGTACCTCGCCGTATGTCTTGCCTAGTCTCATTATTGGAATCAATAAACGCGGACATTTCATTATTTGTTATCCACTTTTTCAAGACAGATTCATGGAGCTCAGGCCATAAACAAGCTCATATTCCCGATGAGAACCCTTTTGATGTACATAGCTGAAAAGGAGACATGGAATGTAGAGGAGGCTTCCGTAAATTCAATTTCGCCATTTACTCATCTCGACGCCGAAGGGAGAAATAAAGAACTGATATCGCGGATACTTCATTGAACCGTACGAGGTGGTCCATCCTCTGACAAATACTGTTATCAGTACAGTCAAGGGTAGATCCAAGTCTGTACTGTCCTATGTCTCCTGCCTATTTAGAGCAGCAGTTCCCAGACTTCTTTGAATCGCGACCCACTTGCTGACATACAGGAAATTTCTTGATCCGCCGGAATCCAGAACGAGGTATTTTCAAAGTAATTATGACGTGAAGAAAATTGATCGACCTTTTCTGCAGGTCATGTTTTATCTGAGTGGATGGCGGATAAGGTGGTTTTTTATACTGGGAAAATGTACTCGACCCACCTTCATTTCTCTCGCGACCCACAGTTTGGGAACGGCTGGTCCAGAGCTCAGGTTCCGTACCACAGATGGGAATACCTCCACTGGATAATGAATTTAAGTACATGGTACGAAATGATAATGACCAATATAGAGTAAAAACCAGCTACTTGGGTAAGTGCGTTAAATGTTGTGCTTCAACTTCCTGTCAACGTTGGCCCCACATTGGCCCAACGGTCACTTTTACATGGGGCCTACGTGAATAACTTACGTTGGGCCAACGTATCCTGACGTTGAAGACCACGTTGGGTCAACGTGGGCCCCACGAATAATGTTATCTGGGAAGTAACCTCTTCAAGCTAGCCAAGCACAAAGTGACAAGATTTCTGTCCCGCAAAAGTGGGACACCCAATAAATACTACCGTTGCCTCCTACAAATGAAATGTATTTGTTGTTGCTCTCACAATTATATCTATTTTTGTAGAAACATGAATTATAGCAGGTATCAGAACTGCTTAGTTCATTGGGGACACAAGGACATGAAGTATGAATGTGAGATGTCACACCTAAATCAGGACGTCTGGTCACTTTAACCTCTTTCGTGTCTTTTTTCCTCCCTGAAAATTCGGTCCAAAAAATGTCAATTTATTTTATTTCAGATTTATTTCTATGAAAATTTAAATTATAGAATACATTAACTTGTAACAATTTGCTATATTTTAAGTATTAATTCCATATTTCCATAGGCTAGCTCAACGGAAACGGAATGAACGTGTACGCGTTAGCATTTAACCCCCTCCGAGTTTTGCCCGAACACAGATTGGGCAAATCTAGGAAGGGGTTAATCAAGCAAGGGGCAGCTGCTACGTCCTAACTTAATGGATTCCACGCATCCACTATTGTACAAGTCAGAGAGGCATCAAGGATATTCCAATGGGTAAGGATTAGTCAGAAGTTTATTGAGTTTATTGAGCATGGATGGTGATGGAAACAAAAAAGGGGTGAGATGACCTCAGTAAGAACGGGGGGAGAGGAAGGGAAACACCGGGTTAGGTGACCGAGTGGTTTAGGCTTCCGAGCCAAACGCAGGAACCTGGATTCAGGTCCAGATGGAGTGTTGATGGCAATGAGCCCGACTGGTGACTCACATGCTTTCATGGGGAATATCTGCATATCCACACACCCCACTGTGTGCCACGGAGATGAGAACGTTCGGTACATAAAAAATATGACTCGTGGCAATCATGGGCTTGAGCAACCAGCGATGAGCTGTCCTGAAGACTTCTCACAGGATCGTGTTCGAGCGTCCCTGCCACAGGGACAGTGGTTAAGGTGTAGTTCCAGTGCCAAGCAGCCATCCCCTTCCTCTCGGTGGATCGTAATGCTGTACGCCCTTTGCCATGCGTCCGCTGCATGTGTTTAAAAAATAAATTAACTGCAATAATTGAACTCCCCGTGGAAGCGTCCCTGCCACGAGTACTAAAAATTACTTCGCGACTTGAATCTTTCTTGAGGCTAACGCAACTAGTATTCTCTCTTGTTCCTTTTCATGCTCATGCTTCTCTCATGCTTCACATATATCTAAGCCCTTCACGAACTCGAGTGCCTGCAAGAGACACCCTTTCGACCTTCTCCAGCGAATACAATCACACTGAGTCTAAACGCCGCTCTTATGAAAGTCCCCGCACGTCCTTTGCCATTTCGGAATGTCAAAGGACGTACGGGGACTTTCGGGCGGGGTCCCTAAGGACTCGCCTCGTATTCTCTCAGGCACCTTCATTTTAAGGGCTCCAAAATTGAACAGAATGTTCTGAATGGGGCCTTCCTTACCGATTCCATCTGCGAAGAAGTATGACTCACGAGCTCTTACTGGTAACATAAAGCGAGATAAAATTCTACTGCCTGTTCTTTACCTTTTGGTATCGTGGACTGTGCGCGCTTGAAAAAAGCTCTTCATCGATAGGTATCAGTGAGGTGGTTGAGAGGGGGGGCTGCTTGGGCCACGAAAAAACCTAACAAGAGTTAAGTTAAACTAAAACTTTAGCGTTTAGATTTTAGTAGAATCCAAATTATACACAGGGTTGTTGCCATCTGCCGCGATAAAAAAGTTTGATCCAATTGGTGGGTCAACTGACCCACCATTTCCTAAAATAGGGCTCCTAATTTAATTAAATATCGAAGGAGCGTACGTAATTTTACCCAGGAATTGCAGCGCCCACATTATCTCTGATATTGAACCTCGTTTATATTCCTATTTAGTTGGGTGGAAGAAAGGCTGAATTGAGGAAGGGGGGAGGGGGAGGGGCTCGGTCCCTCCACCCTGGGGCTAAGCCATTGGAAACTGGTGAGGAATGCTGGTGTGAAAAACCCTTTCCCTGCATACTAATTATCGTATTTTCCCTATGACAGAAATGGTACTTGTACAGAGCACATCACCACGCAAATAACCTTGTAATTCACTCTAGTTGATTTAATGATGATGATTAAAGTCTGATGAAATTATGAAAATGAAGTGGTCCTGAAATGGTCAGGAAAATACTGGAATTTCAACTACAGTACTCTGTGAGAGTAGAGCGATCTGACGTACTTTAGCAGAAAGATGGGACCATCTGTTCGAGCGCATTCCATAAATTTAAGGACAGTTACATCCTAAATTAGCTGAATTTAGCGAAAGCTAATGAGCAAGAAGCTTGCAAAAAAAAAGAGCAAAAACGAGTGAATGAGTGCTAAGAGATGGTAAAGACAAAAGAGACAAAGAATAATTATGACAAAAATCGATGGACGCGAGCAAGTATGCCGTAACGATTCTCCTCTTCTATCGTTCGGAGCTCTCATTTACCTGCGTTCTTTCGCACGTGAAACCCATCACGACCCGACACCCAAGGACGGCAGATTCATTGAGGTCACGGTGAGGCAGGCTCAGCTCAGCCAAGACGAAACAACTTTTTTTTTTCTCATCTCCTTTCTCTTGGGACGAAGCGACAGCGAGACCTGCATCACCCCCGGCAAAGAGACAAACATTTGTCATGTTCCCCCTCCGCCTTCATCTTCACGCCCATATTCTTCCTCTGACGGAGGGCTGAAGCAATGACCAGCCAAATTTTGCATGGTAGTAAATTATCTGTAGGCAGTGGGAGTGTCCCCACTAGCTCACTCCTTCCGATTCCTCTCGCCCTAAGAGTACGCTTTGGGTTTTAGACTCGTTTCTGAAAGTGCTACTGTTTTGCGCTCCGGATTGTGTGCATAAGAAAAAAGTTCAGGATTGTTTTGAGCACGAACCCATGTATGCGTTCTCACCTGAGTTTCACTATCTCCACCACACGAACCCATGGGTTTCTACAGGCTAGATCATGGTTTCACTTTGCCGGTGAAGTTATTCTGAGAACTCGGATTATCTCCACCAAAGCCTTAAATCTGCACTTGACGGGAAGATTCATTTGCATTTTGATTCTCTAGGGGGGAGGGAGAGATAAAGAGAAGCGTGAGGGTCTTGTGATTACCAAGTCACAGTTGATCATCCACGAAGCATGACTGTATGCTTTCTCGATTGGCCTCTTGAGGCGGGGGAGGGCAAACCGAGGGAGGAAATTCGTGGCGCCGGCCGGTCTCCATTCCCTCCAAGGGTCGATATAACTGGATTACGCGATCTCTCCAAGGAGGCTGAAGAAAGGCGGAGGCAAGTCTTTCACTTTTCTGCCCGTGCGATGGAGAAACGGTGATGTCATCGGGGCATGTGAATGTGAGCATAGGTGCAGGTTAATTGGTGGGTCTCTGCAAAGAAACCCAAGTGATTGCCACACCTTTTCCTTTCTTCCGTTCTTCCTGGTAATTGGCCGACCGCATACCTTCCCATCACAAGGTTGGAATGCTTCCCATTCCGTGCGCTTGAAGCTGAAAAACCACTTTATCGCAAAGGACCACAAACGGGAGGGGGGGGGCAGAAGCTTCCCGTTTGGATTAATTATCTTCTCTGTCTCTTCTGACAATTCACTTCATAAGTTTTTAGTTCGAGACCGAGAGTTTGATCGAATTTGACCGTCGGCGTAGCCGGGAAAGAGCCTTTCCTTTCGGTCCCAAACTAGAGAATGAAGATAAGACAGCATGAGTTTCTCGGATATGCAAAAATGGTCTAAGGATTTTCTCAGCAGCCTCAAGAGCGGAATCGCCGATCACGTCCCGGAATTTCACCAGCTGTTAAAAAAAAAAATTTAAGACGCGCCT